TATGAATTAAAATAGTAATATATAATTAAAAATTAAAGGAAACTATTATAAAACTTAAAAAAATTAAAAAAATTGAATGTCACCAGCCACATAGCTTTTTTTTTTCGTGAGACTGACCTAACAATTAATAATAAAAAATTCTCTATTGTATAAATTAATTAAAATCACATAAATATAAAAATAAAATAACAATTTTTTTAAAAGAGTAAACAATAATTAAAAATTAAAGGAAACTATTATAGGAACTTGTACCTAATTTTAAAATTGAAAAAATTGAATCTCACCACCAACATGGCTTTTTTTTGCTGACATGGACTTAAAAAGTAATAATTTTTTTCTCTATTGTTTAAATTAATTAAAAATTTTAAAATCAAATAAATACAAAAATAAATAACAATAAAATTGACGGACTTTGACGGTAGTACCATCTTGATACAAAAAAAAAAGAGTTGAAGAACTGTTCAAATGAAAATTTTAGTTGGTGGACCAAAATGATACTAGAGCAATAGTTGAGGGACCGGAGGTATTTTGGTTTTGAACGATAGAGCTTCTCAAAAAGTCACATATACCCTTCAAAACTCAGTCACGTGGCCATCATGTGATCAGAAGTAAAGGAATCTGTAACGGATGGACCATCTTGGTACAAAATAAAAAGTTTAAGGACGTTTAAATTGAAAATTTTAGTTGGTGACCAAAATGATAATGGGGCAATAGTTTAGGGACCATTTAGGTCATTAACCCTTTCCAAATATTATGAACTTGCTTGGGCCAAGGCCCTGCCAGCCAGTAGATGCAAAATATAAAGGAAAGTAGATTCTGAAAATCTTATCTGCCAATGTCTAAAGACTACAGTCAACAAGCGTGGCATTTGCCTTAGCCTCAAATCCACCCCACCATGACTTAAAGCTTATTCAATATCAACCTCACAGGTTCTCCAGAACCTCAGAAAACTGGGACCAGCCATTCAGTTCTCAGTCTACATGTCTTCACTGAATCTACAAAGTTTGATAATAATAAACCAATTAAAATAGATAATGGTGAACTGGGATTTTCTCATAATTTCATAATTTAGAGAACCAATGAATAGTAATGGAATAGATAGCGCCAGTAAATCTGTTCCAAGAAAGGCATGTGTGGTCATAATTATTTCTAAGCAAACAAAAGCAAAACTCAACCAATCATATACCCTTTAGCTAGCATTTGGTAAGTTGTTCAGGTATGTTGTATGAACAAAACCATCCCCATTAAACTCTGTGTCATGCATTTTGTGTTGTTGCATTTGTATTTCTCAGCTCTTCACATACATACTAAAGAAGACACCCAGCTGAGCATTCAAATCCCTTCTTCTTTTTTGTTTTCTTTGCACCAGAATTATAGTGATTGATTTCATGGTGGTTCTAAGCCTTCAACCTGTCCAATTTTCTACCCCTAAACACATGTTATTATGTAGACCGGGCAGTACTGGTTATCCCATCCGATGTGGGATTGCAGAGCCATCAGGAGAGCCAGCTCCCATGGGACAAAAGACCAAGTACAATGATGGGTTTTTTGAGAAGGGATTTATGACACTGTTTGCTCGCAAAATGAAGAAGTTTGCAGCTCCAGTGAAGGCCAGGACTGAGACTAAGGAGAAGGCATGGTGGGAATATGACTATGAGAGCTTTGTGGATGTGTCTAAGAGAGTGATGCAGGGGAGGTCTAGAGTTCAGCAGCAGCAAGTGGTTCGAGAAGTGCTCTTGTCTATGCTGCCTCCAGGTGCGCCTGATCAGGTGGATAATAGTAGACCATTAATTCTCACTTCTCTAATGTTTACTTTGTTGGCAATTGGGTATAATTTTGTAGCACATGAAGGGATGGGGATTTGGTTTGTTCTGTTGTATGGATGAATTGAATAGTTATTTGACTTGTTATCTTTGCAGTTTAGGAAATTGTTTCCACCAACAAAGTGGGCAGCTGAATTCAATGCTGCATTAACAGTGCCTTTCTTCCACTGGTTGGTTGGGCCTTCTGAGGTAATTATACTTTTACTCCTCTTAGCTAAAGCTAGATAGAGTCTATACTGTATAGCATGAGTGGTGCTGTGTCACAAAATTAGAAATTGCTCATATTTTCAACCTTTTAAAAGATTAATCTGGTTTTGGTCAATGTCAAATATCTGAAATTATTTGGTTTTTCTGTTGTGCAAGCTAAATATGATGTTTCATTTGCTGCTTCCTTTTGGACTTAATTGTTGTGATACACTAATTTATGGGCATCCACCAGGTTGTAGAAGTTGAGATAAATGGGGTGAAGCAAAGAAGTGGAGTCCATATAAAGAAATGCAGGTGGGATCTATATTTCATGATGTCCAAATTGAATATAAATTTGTCAAGTCAACATATATAAAGAAATTTCCTTTTGAGGAGCTGCAAAGATAAAACTCCATGAAGTAGGGTTCTTAAATGGAAACAATTTTGATAGATGACATGACTGAAAACACAGCCAATCACTAATTTTCTAACTTTGGCATTCTTCCTTATCTAGGTACCTGGAGAACAGTGGGTGTGTTGGAATGTGTGTGAATATGTGCAAGTTTCCTACTCAAGATTTCTTCACCAATGAATTTGGGCTTCCCTTAACCATGATTCCAAGTATGATTCATTATCTTGGTTTAATTATGCACAAAAATCAGACTTTAAGGCTGGAATTCTTATATAAGTTTGATCAAACACATTCCAAGTAGAAAACAGAGCTTTCTGAATTGGATTTCCTTGTGCAGTAATTATATTAATAAACTTCTACATCTTGTCTTATCCCCATTCTTTCTATGCTCAGATTTTGAAGATATGAGTTGTGAAATGGTGTATGGCCAAGTTCCACCACCATTTGAAGAGGATCCAGTGTCCAAACAACCATGTTTTACTGATATATGTAAGTTTGTAGAGCTTGTATATTGTGTGATCAATGGAGGTATATATTCCTGATTTCTAGCTATGCGTTTATCTGCAGGTTCCATTGCAACTCCCAGCTCCAGTGTCTGTCCAAAATTACAAGCTTGAAAGATACTCCTCCGTTATTCATAGTTCCAGTACAGCTTTCAAGTTCATATGTCACATCCATCTTACAGTTCAACTGCAGTACATATCTTTTATGCGTGTTGAACATGGCGAAAGTGGAAGTTACCATATACCTATTAGGCTGAAAATTTCTATCTCATGACAGGAGAGAATTTGTTTGTAAAATTAAAGACAATATATCACTCTTTATAAGCCCAAGGTCATATCTCATTTTGGAGAATCCTAGGAACCAACAATGTGTCTAATAGACTGAATTTGAGTTCTCGTTCGCTTTTTATGGTGTATGGAAGAGAGATTATCTTCTCCGCTCCCTGAGTTTTATCAAGTGGTCCTGTGAATTGAGAAACCTTCAATAAAGTCACATGTTTGACAACAAGTTCATTCATTTTGCATATGCTTTTGAGGCCAGCATACCACCTCCAAAGAGTAGGAAATCAAGCTACATGGTAAAATAAGCGAAACAGATAAGATGACCTGCCCCGCGCTTGATATGAAGTTTTTGATGCAAAAATTTGGCAAGGTTGAGCTGAGTTTGTAGCTCAACTGCAGGAAATATGCAAGCACTTGATGCTGCTGAAATTCAGCCTGCCTTTCAGGCTTTCAGTATTGGGCACATGAAAAAAGGGATTAGGTTTTAGCTCTTGCAATTGGCAAAATCTGTCATTGCCATATTGATGTTCCTTTCATTCCTTTGAAAATGTTGGGGAAATCTGAGAGTCCAAGAAAACAAGCAACCTCAAAAACCCCCTTAATTTGTGCTCTATGAAGCAATCATCAAATCATTTGGTGCTTTTCCAACCCAAAAAAAATAAAATTTTAATTTAAAACTCTTGACCAAAAATGTGAGATTCTAGGACGTCACTGTAAGTCCCAATCACATGATAGGTGGAATTTATGGCTACATCACTAGGGCCTTTAACTAATAAAACGGCTCATGCAAGTTGCAAAAAACCCACCACCTCTTTTTTCTTTTTGCCTTCTTCTTCTTCTTCTTCCTCATTTTCAATCCTTCAAACTTTTTTTTAGCTTGGGCGGCCCATGTGATTTGCTTTATTTATCTATTCATACAATCCGTGACTTTGCTGCTACAGACAAATCACATTTTCTTCTACAACCTCCATCACACGCCTTAAATTGTGGCATCCAAAGTCCAACCATGCCTCTAATTTAAACCCAATTTTGCTTCACGTAAATTTCGGTTTTTGTTCAAGACTTTTGGCATGATTTAACAGTACTAAGAGCTTCTCTGTGTGCAGATTGAAAAACCCATGAAGAATACAGACGTAAGTTTTTTTCAATAAAGTTTTTTTGGAACCATGTGAGGATTATGCTCTGTTTTGCGTCTTTTTGTCTCTGTTTTGTGACTTGCAGTTTTCATAATATCCAATAGCAAAGGATAAAGTTTGTAACTTTGTATCATTATTTGTTTTATTCTCACAACCCAAATGTCCCATTTTGGCGCATTTGATCCCGTGACAAGCATGACACCTCACTCTCTCTCTCTCTCTCTCTCCCAACGACCAACCGAACAAACCAACCTCCTTCTTCTTCTCACTGCCTATAAATTGAAGTCTTTTGCCTCAACACATTTCAAACCCACCACCTTATCTTAATTAGGTCTCTTCTGCTATAGCATTGAAGAGGCTTTAGGATTGAGGAAGAAATTGATTATATAATGGCTTATGCTGCCACATTTTCTTTAGTGACACAAGTTCTAGGCTTAACACTTTGTTTGCTCAGTTTATGCTGCTCTGCCTTCACTCCTCAAGACTACTCAGATGCTCTTGAGAAGTCCATCCTCTTCTTTGAGGGCCAGAGGTCCGGGAAATTGCCGGCGAACCAGCGTGCCACTTGGAGGGCAAATTCTGGCTTGTCTGATGGCTCCTCATACCATGTACTAATTAATTTAATTTTTTTCAACTACTGTATATTTTGTCATTTTACAATATAAAATGATACTAAGGTCTAAGGTGTTACTTGGGTGTGACTTGAATTTTTCAGGTGGACCTAGTAGGGGGCTACTATGATGCTGGAGATAATGTCAAGTTTGGCCTGCCAATGGCCTTCACAACCACATTACTTGCATGGAGTGTCATTGAGTTTGGTGACTCAATGCATAACCAGATTGAGAATGCCAAGGATGCCGTACGTTGGAGCACAGATTATCTTCTAAAAGCAGCCACTTCAACCCCTGGAGCCTTATACGTCCAAGTGAGAGAAACAAAATTATAAATTGGTTACACAAAACTGAGAGCTAGAGAAAAATGACTATTGTTAATGACATTTGTTTTCAAGCTGAAGACAAGTCCTGAGAGTCACATGTTTTCACATGTTTTGGTGGTGCAGGTGGCAGATCCAAACGCGGACCACCGCTGCTGGGAGAGGCCTGAAGATATGGACACGCCACGCAATGTGTACAAGGTGTCGGCTCAAAATCCAGGATCAGATGTAGCAGCAGAGACTGCTGCTGCATTGGCTGCAGCTTCCATAGTGTTCAAGGACTCTGACCCTTCTTACTCTGGAAAATTGCTTCACACAGCCATGAAAGTAAACACCTAACACAAAAGTTAAATTCATTATTTAACAGTTTTTCCACCTTCATACCACTTCATTATTTACAAGTAAGTTAATTTTGAATTGTGATCACCATGCAGGTGTTTGATTTTGCAGACAGGTACAGAGGTTCTTACAGTGACTCTATAGGCTCAGTGGTCTGCCCTTTTTACTGCTCATACTCAGGATACCATGTAAGCCAAAGGCATAACATAATTTGCTTCTAATTTCCTTTGTTTTAATCCATTAAAGGTTCCTAATGATCCCAATTGTTCTGATTAGGATGAGCTTCTGTGGGGTGCTTCATGGATCCATAGAGCCTCTCAGAACAGTTCATACTTGGCTTACATAAAGTCCAATGGCCACATCTTGGGTGCAGATGATGATGATTTCTCCTTTAGTTGGGATGACAAGAGACCTGGAACAAAAATCCTTCTTTCAAAGGTTTATTTTATTCTCAGTCACACCAGAAAAATCTTAACAGGTCAAATTACTTATAATTAATTGGGTTTTGGTACAGAGCTTTCTAGAGAAAAACAATGAGGAATTCCAGTTATACAAAGCACATTCAGACAATTACATATGCTCCTTACTTCCTGGAACATCTAATTTCCAGGCCCAATATACCCCTGGTAACCTACCCTTTTATCTTTTTCGCGCTGATATTGTGCTTATATCCAAAACTACGTTGTTGCGCATTTAATCGAAATGGTTTACAGGAGGACTTCTCTACAAAGCAAGTGAGAGCAATCTCCAGTATGTTACTTCCGCAACACTCCTCCTACTCACATATGCAAAGTATCTTAGAACAAATGGAGGAGTGGCTACATGTGGCTCCTCAAAAGTCACAGCAGAAACCCTAATCTCAGAGGCAAAGAAGCAGGTTGACTACATACTTGGTGACAATCCAGCAAAGATTTCATACATGGTAGGGTTTGGGAAGAAATACCCACAACACATACACCACAGAGGCTCTTCTCTGCCATCTGTGCATGAACACCCAGAGCGCATTAGCTGCAACGATGGATTTCAATATCTGCATTCTGGATCACCCAACCCAAATGTGCTTGTTGGAGCCATTGTTGGTGGACCTGATAGCAAAGACAGCTTCTCTGATGACAGGAACAACTATCAGCAATCTGAGCCAGCCACTTACATCAATGCACCAGTTGTTGGGGCTCTTGCTTTCTTCTCTGCCAACACCAACCCAAATTAGCTCCAACTTCTATTAACCTCTAAAATTTAAAAAAAAAAATAAGAGGAAAGTGGATTGGAGATAAGTGAAGAGTTGTATGAATAGTAGATTGAAAGGTGCAACTTTAGTATCCTGTTAATTAGTTGTTTAGAGGGCAAATCAGAGTCCAAATGTTGTGCCATTGGCATTTCCATGAGCTGTGGCACATAGTTTAAGTGTAGGTTGGAAAATGTTCTTAATTTACAGTTGGATTGAGAACTCCCAAAAAATTAAATATGAAAAGACTAGTTTGCCTTTGATATAAAATGACTATTTGAAAGTCTACATCCCAAGCATCATTTTTTTAAGCTCTTAAACTTACTCTCACTCTCTCTCTAATCACTAAAGGCATAAAACAATATGAAAGAAACTTAGTTTCGAAGAGTAGAACATCAAATCATCCTTTTGGAGTCACCAAATGAAGCGTGGGTCGATAATTTTTTATTGTCATCTAAGAATTTATGATTTTTATATTGTCATCGTTAAGTTGAGTTTAGAACCCTAATCAACCCCTACCTAAAAACAGTCTACCAATTTAGTACCCCGAATGTCATGAATTTAAAAACGCATTTAGTAACCTGTAAGAATTATGGAAAATTAATTAAAGTAAAAAATTTCTAGTCATATTTCTAGAAATGAATAATTAGATTAGGGAAGGGTGTTAATGATGAAGTGAAATGAATCTAAAGTTAACATATGCATCAAGTGATGTATATAAACATATATTCGATAAAACCAGAAGAAATCTAATCGTTCCCTTATGAATCCATCAGAAGCTGCTTATGAAAACAAATCTTCAGCTTAAAAATTTATGGAAAATAAATCACAACGAATAAGGCAACAACGTAATTACTCAAAAATCCGCGCCCAAATCCGTAATCTCCCTAAAAGGCAAAAAATTAAAATTTAAAAAAAAATAATAAAAATAAAGGAAAAAGAAAGAAAGAGAAAACAGAACAAGAAACAAAATGGTCATTTCCCCATTTTTATACCCGCGAGTTGGGCAGTCGGTGGTTACAATGAAACATCCAAAATCTTCATCTTCTTCTTCTTCTTCTCCAACGACGAATAAATCTCAGCAATAAACTCACAGAGAGAGAGAGAGAGAGTTGCAGCGACAGATCTGATCGTTTTGCCCCAAATTCCAGACCCCAAAACGATGTCCTTCGCTCCTCGCCCCTTCCTCCTCCTCCTCCTCTCTCTCCTCACCACCTTCTTCTCTCTCTGCTCCGCCGAGATCCGGTCCTCCTCTGTCCGATCCGACTGGCGACCCATCATCCCCTTCGACGAGTTCGGCTTCACCCACAAAGGCCGCCTCGAGCTCAACGTCTCCAAAATCGCCCTCTCGGATCAACCCAACCCGAATCCGGACTTCTCCAAAGTCGGGTTCTTTCTCTGTACCCGAGACTCCTGGATCCATGTCTTCCAGCAGCTCGAAGAAGGCGATGTACGGTGCGCGCTCGATTCGAACCTCGTCAAGCGCGTCTACACCTTCGACTCTCTCAAAGGCGACCATGAATTCTCCACCGTCTTCTCCGAGACCGACGCCGATCAGTACACGCTTCTCTTCGCCAACTGCCTTCAGAAGGTCAAGGTCTCCATGGACGTCAAATCGGCTATGTACAACCTCGAAGGGAAGGAAAACCGCCGCGATTATCTCTCGGCCGGTAAAACAATTCTCCCTAGGGTTTACTTCTTCTTCTCTTTAGTCTACGCTGCTCTTGCCGGTTTGTGGATCTTCGTGCTCTATAAGAAACGACTTACCGTTTTTGGAATCCATTTCTTTATGCTCGCTGTTATAATTCTCAAAACTTTCAACTTGCTCTGTGAGGCTGAGGACAAGTCGTATATCAAGCGCACTGGTAGCGCTCATGGCTGGGATGTGTTGTTCTACATCTTCAGCTTTTTAAAGGGTGTCATGTTGTTCACTCTCATCGTTCTGATTGGAACTGGGTGGTCGTTTTTGAAACCGTTTTTGCAAGACAAGGAGAAGAAGGTTTTGATGATTGTGATTCCGCTTCAGGTCATAGCCAACATTGCCCAGGTTGTGATTGACGAGACTGGGCCTTTTGGGCATGATTGGGTTACTTGGAAGCAGGTGTTTTTGCTTGTAGATGTTGTTTGTTGCTGTGCTGTCTTGTTTCCAATTGTGTGGTCTATTAAGAACTTGCGTGAGGCTGCTAGGACTGATGGCAAAGCTGCTGTGAATTTGATGAAGTTGACTCTGTTCAGGCAGTACTACATTGTGGTTATATGCTACATTTACTTTACACGGGTTGTAGTTTATGCATTGGAGACTATCACTTCTTACCGGTACCTTTGGACCAGTGTGGTTGCTGCAGAGTTGGCCACGCTTGCTTTCTATGTGTTTACCGGGTACAAGTTCAAGCCGGAGGCGCACAACCCGTACTTTGTGATTGATGATGAGGAGGAAGAGGCTGCAGCCGAGCAGCTGAAGCTTGAGGATGAGTTCGAATTGTGATTTAGTGTAGAGAGGAATGAAGATTGTGCTCTGTAATCCAATTGGGAAGACGCCGAGGTAGAGTTTCAACAATTACAATGGGGTATATTTTGTGTTTTCTTTGTGTCATGTTGACCTTTTGTTATAATTGGAGTTAGTACTTAGTAAGATAATGCCACACCCTCATGAATTTTTCTATGAATTGAAGAATATGTGTAAGTACTGAAAGATAATGTTTGGATTAATTTTTTTGCATAAAGTGTGTGCTTCCATCTTCTGTTTCGAATTTTACTTTTATAAACCCCTTTGATTCCGCATTAATTTGGTTCATGGTGGAGCTATCTAAAATGATTTTTGAATTGTTTCATTCCAAGTATTGTGGTTTTCATGTGGCCGGAGGGAGTATTAGAAAACAGAGAGATGGGAAGGGTCATGATTTTTCATGTACCAAATAGGAATTAGAACAGTGGAGTGTTGTTGTTACTTGGCCATAACACCAAACTTGCTGTTTTTTAGGTTCATGCATGATATAAAATGTTCTGCTAGCCAAATGGAATATTTATGCAGGGTGGATGAAGCAATGTATGTTCTGGGTTGCTCTCCATTGCTAGTAGCCTAGTAGTGCATTCTTTTTCCTTTTTCCCTTTTTCCTTTTTGGTTGAGGAGGGGTTGCTCAATTAGTTGTCTGTATGTTAGTGTATCAGTATAGATTATTTGAGGGATGCTTACAATTTGAAGGTACAAAGCTATCAGATGGCATGCTTCATCCCGTCTTACTATTCAATTTTATGAAGTCATAACATTAATTTATGTTCTAATATCTTCGAAGAGTGTTTCTGATATGCGTAATATCGAACACGATAGTCATGTTTTGCAACAATCAGATTTCACTATCCAGGACTGTCTCCATTCTAATTTCTTTAGTTGGCTAAGTTTTGATATCTTTGGGAACCTGTAGTCCTTGAGTTGCTTTGCCATTTTATGATTATAACTTTTATCAAGGGTTTTGTTATGGGATTGCACTTTCGTTGTATTATGGGTTTTTTTATTATTTTATAATTATCTTTAAGACCAAGTATTCTATTAATTTTGAATGCCCATAATTCATGCCTGCCTCTTGGTCTAAGCTGACTTTGAATTTTAAAGGCTTTTGTTGAATAACCTTCTCTCTCAAATGACTAAGCGTGATGTTAATGGGTTAGCTTAGCTCCCACAATTTTCAACCTTCAACAATGTTTCTTAAGCAACACGTCAAATCACTTTGTAGTGTTTTTCTTTGTGCAATCAATTCTGAGAAGTTGCCTCTTCGTAGACTAGGAAAAGTAGACATTTTCAATACACACTGATCTTGACCATTTCCATCTGAATACTTCTAGTGGCAATCTTTTTAAGGTTCTATCTCTTCAGAAATTCTTAGTTCAAACCTCTTTATGTAATTAAGAAAAGAAAACTAGATGGACAAAGTCAAGTGGACAAGAAAGAATCTTGGTGATCCACTTTTACACTACCTATGTTCGTCCTTGTTTTTTCTTAGAAAAATTAGGTATTAGACATAAATAACTTTACTAATTAGTATTTGAGACATTGAGTATTTTTATTTGGGTTTTAATACCTAGGAAAGAATTGTTATTTTGGATTAGGCCAAAGAGGAGGCTCAGATTCGTTGGGTCTGCTTAAAATAATAACTGAAAAGACAATACTACCCTTCTTCTTAAAAAGCATGGCCCAACTTTAATTATATTATGGTAAAGACTTAAATGTCAAAATGGTCTCTGTGTTTTATTGTGGTGACCAATTTAGTCCATGTGTTTTTAATTTGGCCAATTTAATCCCCTTATTTAGTACAGTTATCCAATTTGGTCCAATCCGTTATTTTACCGTTAAATTACATTATGAACCTTTCTTTTTCTTTTAAAAATCCTAAAACCCTTTTTAAATTAATCATTAAAAAAATTGAATTAACTTAAAAATATTAAGTCTTCATTAAAACATAACAAAGGACGAAAAAGACCCTCCATAGCCAATCCCTTCAGTTTCTTCAGCTTTCTACAGCTTCTCCAAAGCAAGCCCCAGTCACCAGTTCCAATTCCAAATAAACAAAGACTTTCCAAACCCAATTTTGCATCAGAATCCTCATCTGCACAGAACCCATATTTTGTACTGGCATCAAAAACTTTTTCAAAACCTTCCCCACAGCAAACCAAGATTGACAATTCTTTCAAAGAAGGTAAATTGAGAATCCACATGAGCAAAAGAGGCCTGGAGAGATCGATACACAAATAGGTGAGTTGGGTGCATCCTGCAGACAGAGAGAGAAGTACCTCAAATTTGGTAGCGGAGGCATGGGCGGGCAGGGGAAGGTAGTTGAGATTGGATGGTGGTGTCTTGTCTTTTTTTTTTTTTTTAATAAATTCTTTTTGTTTTTGGATCTCTTTTTATTATTATTATTATTATTATTCAATTCAATTATTATATTAGTTTTTAAAAACTTTTTAACAGAAAATTAACAAATTGGATCATATTGACTAACGGTACTAAACACAGGGATTAAATTTTCCAAATTAAAAACACACGGACTAAATTAGCTAACATAGTAAAACACAGGGATCATTTTGACATTTAAGCCTAAGGTAAAAGCAAGTACTATATTTTGGCTTTTGACTCTATCCTAATTAGCCGAAATTGAATTCTTATTTATCTAAATAGTAAACCATATTGTGTGTGAAAACTAAAGCTCCCGAATCAACACTTTCTTTTTAATTGAATACAAGTGATTGATGGAGGGGTTTACACAAAATTCATTGGG